ACATAAATCTTATAATATAAGGCAAATTATAATTTTGATACAAGACAAATTTTTAGACTTTACAAAATATGAAAAAATTAATATCTTGACAAATGTAATTTACCACTATCATATGATAAATTAAATTTACGAAACTCATAAGATGAAATGTATTTATATTTTATCATAAATATAATTTTTGTGATTTATTTTTTTAATTTTTACCAATTAAATTATGACATGTATTTGCTATTAAGAACTTTGAGCACACAATTAATGACATAAGAATAAAAAAAATTCTCTTATATGTAATTGTGATAAAAATAAATAAAATTTAATTGATTCTAAAACATTTTTACTAAGTATTCTAGACAATTTTTTTAAATTATTATTATTTAATTTTAAAAATTAGTTTTTGATTATTTATTTATTCATGTGCATAGCACAAGTAATTATGCTAGTGTATATATATATATATTAATAGTGGGTGCCTATACAATCCATGTAAGTAAATATAAAAATAAATAATAAAAAAATTAATACCATAATATATATGTTGTTTAAATACCAAAAGTATTCTTAATTAAGGTCAAATTTGACATATTGTAAAAAAGTCAAAAAGTCAAAAAATTATTCAAAAAGTTAAAAAGTTAACACTATTCACCAAAAGTCAACAATTACGGTTGCACAACTCTCAATTCTAATTTTTCCCTACAAATCAATTTTTATAATTTTTTATTACATATTTTTTCATAAAAAGTCAAAAAGTTAACCCAAACATTCATATTTTCTTTCTTAATTTTTTAATCTAAAAAAAGTAAAAATACACTTATTTAAGACATCCCAAACAACCCCTAAACCCAAGATTGAGTTCGAATCTTGAGAACCCGTCAGATTAATTAGATTTGGTGACTTTTGTTGAGAAGTGGGCCTATCATTGAAGAACACGTGTAGGGGTGCGCATGAGGATTAGCCAACTGAGAGGCATTTCCCTGGGGAGCGGGCGATGGTGGTCTAGAGATAGAAAGATGATCAGGTGCAGTGTGCAGTTCGAGCTTTTTAATGAGCGTAGACTCGAAGGGTTTCCACGTGTCATGAGCAAACTGTGAAAGTGGAGGGTAGTTATTGGTATTTAGAAAAAAAAAAATGTAATATCTGAATAAATTATTAATTCATACTCTAATTTTCTTTTCCAAAACATGACACAGGGTACTTATTAATGAATTTAAAATAATCTACAGATTTTGTGGTAATGGAGATTTTAGATAGGTCGTAGTAATGGAGATTGACACTCAAACAATTTAGTTAATAATGATACAGTTTAATTGATGATAGAACGGGTCGGACTGATCCACGCTCCTTAAGCCTATGTCCGAATGACCAAGCCCACTTGAAGACCTGCACAAGAGTTCAACGGGGAACGGGGAGTCCCTCAGTAAACCCTCCGACAAACAAGTTAAAGAGAGAGAAGTGGAGTGTAGAGATGGAGTAGAGATAGAAAAGCTTAACCTTCTTCCCGTCTTCGACGTCTGCTTATATCTTCTGGTAATCATTTCGTTGTTCCTTCCGACCTGTCACCTTGGCCGAAAGTCTATGCTGTAGCTTACCTTGTTCAGGGTGAGGGCGTACCGTCCCAACAGAGAGGGGTTATCGCAATAAATGCTGTAAGGGGCCTCATTAATAGCAATGTGTCGTGCCAATAACTTTACAGATCTTTGTCTGCTGATGTGGCTTGCCCTTCTCTTGCCATGTGTCTTGATGCCATTGGCTCTTATTGCTGTATGGGGCTTCAGCAGTGCTGGGCTTCATTAATTGAATTATGCATTGGGCCCTAAGTGGTAGGCTTGGGTTGTTCATAGTGGGCTATGGCCTTTGTGGGCCTACCTATGTCAGTAGTCCCTCATTCCCAAATGCAGCTTTAGTCCAACGAAGGGAATAATGAAGAAAATGAGAGTTGTGAGAGGGTTGACCAACCATGAGGAGGGCCGACCGCGCAAGGCGGCCGAGTGGAAGGACCGACCATGAAGGGTGGCCTAGTGGAGGGACCGACCATGAGAAGGGCCGACTACGAAGGGTGGCCGAGTGGAGGGACCGACCATAGGGAGGGCCGACCGCGAAGGGTGGCCGAGTGGAGAGGCCGACCATGAAGGGTGACCGAGTGGAGGGACCGACCATGAGGAGGGCCGACCGCGAGGGTGGTGAAGCGGCGCAGGGCTCGAAAGGCAGCGTGGTACGTGTTGAAGTGAAGTGGAATAGATAGGGAAGGGGAAGAGGGCAGTGTATCGTGGTCGTACACGTGGCAGAATCTCGTAGTGGGGGAGGTTAAGCGTTGGGTAATAAGTGAAACGATAGGGCATTTTAGGGTGTTGAAAAGACAGTTTTGGCGGACTGTTGAAAATTTTTCAAACTAGCGGAAATTAATTGTGACCCTTGGAATACGGGCAAGCCTTGGGCTTTTGGTATTATCCGTTTTACCTACTTTTTTGCAAAAAACCAAAACGTTCCAAGTGTTAACTCCTTCGTTGCTAGTGATATACCCTTGTGACATTTTGTAGACTATCTCACACCAGCATCTGAAGCTATTCACCGACATACAAGAAGGATAGCCCAAGGAGAAGGAACAGCCGCGAGGGTTGATCCATTGGAAGACGACGATGCTATGGATTTGGCAGAACAATATCGGATGGAGAAGCGAGTAGGAAGCGAGGGGGAGCCGGTGGGGTGACCTTGTTTGTCTACGGTGATAGCAGCTGTGCAGCCAATCAGCCAGGTTGAGCCAGATCACTGGCATACGAAAGCCGACAAGTCGACCGTCACCGCGAAGGAGTTGGCGAGTATACGCGAGAGGTACCAGATTCCCGCAAAAAATAGAGTTGAAGCTGCCGTCCACGAAGGAGATGCCATCTGACGCCCGACCGGGGGAGTTTGCCCTCTACGAGGAGGCGTTGAAGGGAGGGTTAAGGTTGCCGATTCCGGAGGTAGTAGTGGGTGTCCTAAACCGGTTGGAAGTGGCGCTGGGTCAACTAATGCCCAATGCGTGGAAGATTGTACTGGCTTGCGCGAGCGCATGGCCAAGGGCGAACGAGGGGGCGACCATGACGGTGGATGAGTTTTTTGTGTGCTACAAGGCGTTGGGGCAGCAAGAGACTTGGGTCACTTTACAAGCAGCGGCAGGGAAGGGGCTGGTGGCGGGGGTGCCCTCATCAATAAAGGGGTGGAGGCCGCAGTGGTTCTATGTGTCCGCCAACGGAGGGGTTGGAGTGCGCACAGTTTGGAAAATGCCCACCAAGTCTGTGGCGCCAAAACTGGGGGCAGCAGGAAGCAGTTGAGGATAAAGTGAAGAAAGTGAAGGAATTGAGGGAGAATGAGGGCGCTAGATGGGACGAGCTCGTTCAGCCGTCGGCCTTGTTTGTCGCAGGGTTGGGTCCTTAGCCGATCGGTGGAGACCTCGAACCGGCAGAATTAGAGGCAAGAAGGGAGGCGCAAGAGGCAGAGGATAGGACCATTCTCGCCAAGGCCAGTAAATTCAAAGAGTCACAGGTAGACCGACCGCTGAAACCGATTACGAGATAGAGGATCCGACCACGCCCCAAACCTCTGGAGGAAAAGGACTTGGGTGGATTTGAGCCACGACCGCCCCCAATTAATCCTTTGAAGAAGAGGGCCTATAAGGAGATTGGGGGTGTGGTGAAGAAAAAGAGAGTGAAGAGGAGTGGGGAGGAACCTCCCTTGAAGAGGAGGAAGGAGGTGACGAGGCGTCGGGGCAGCAAGAGACTTGGGTCACTTTACAAGCAGCGGCAGGGAAGGGGCTGGTGGCGGGGTTGCCATCATCGATAAAGGGGTGGAGGCCGCAGTGGTTCTATGTGTCCGCCAACGGAGGGGTTGGAGTGCGCACAGTTTGGAAAATGCCCACCAAGTCTGTGGCGCCAAAACTGGGGGCAGCAGTTGAGGATAAAGTGAAGAAAGTGAAGGAATTGAGGGAGAATGAGGGCGCTAGATGGGACGAGCTCGTTCAGCCGTCGGCCTTGTTTGTCGCAGGGTTGGGTCCTTAGCCGATCGGTGGAGACCTCGAACCGGCAGAATTAGAGGCAAGAAGGGAGGCGCAAGAGGCAGAGGATAGGACCATTCTCGCCAAGGCCAGTAAATTCAAAGAGTCACAGGTAGACCGGCCGCTGAAACCGATTACGAGAGAGAGGATCCGACCACGCCCCAAACCTCTGGAGGAATAGGACTTGGGTGGATTTGAGCCACGACCGCCCCTAATTAATCCTTTGAAGAAGAGGGCCTATAAGGAGATTGGGGGTGTGGTGAAGAAAAAGAGAGTGAAGAGGAGTGGGGAGGGACCTCCCTTGAAGAGGAGGAAGGAGGTGACGATGAAGGAGACCCCCATAACGAAGGAGGTAGAGGAGAGGGGGCAACTCCAGAAGGGGTGGTTGTCCCAGAGGTGCAGGGGGACAAAGGTGAAGGGGCCCACGAGGGAGAAGAGCACATGACTGCCATGGGCCCCAAGATGCAAGTAGAGAGTGGGTCAGATGGCCCTGAGGTGCCCCAAGGAGAGGGAGAGGAGGCTAGGTTGAAGACCGTCTTTTACCATGTCCTAGTCGTGTCTGGGGTGCTGGGAGGAGTAGGAGTAGAAGCCAGGGCCGCTGCAGATCGCCTCTTGTGAGTAATAGAGGAGGCAGCCGTGAGCTCCGTGGCAAATTTTACTAAGGCAAAGCTGCTAAAGGGGTTGTGTTCTGCCCAAATGGAGGTGACCTCCTTAGCCGGGGCCCTTCTGAGAAAGGCGGCGGCTGCAAAAGCTGAAGTGGGGCCGTTGAAGGTAAAGTTGGAGAGGGTGGTGGCCCAACTTGAGAACTTAAGAAGGGAGACTGCAGGTTGGCGAAAAGTCGCGCGAAGTGCGTGTGTTAAAGGGTTGGAAGAGGCTTAGAAGGCGAAGACAATGGAAGTGTTGGCGATCGTGCAGCACAATGTTGCCACTCAAGCCCATGCTGAGCTGCTCATGACCAAGTTGGAGCTAGAAGATGAACGCCACCAAGTTGGAGCTAGAAGATGAACGCCGCAAGGTAGTGTCCCTCGAGTTCCAGCTGGCTAGCGAGCAGAATAAACTGGAAGATGCTAAAAATTCTTACACGGTCGCCAACGAGCGGTTTGAAGAGGCTATGACCAACAATGAAGATCTGCGAGCCCAATGGGTCAAAAAAAAGAAGGAATCAGACCTGAAGATCACTAGGCTGGAGAAGGAGCTGGAAGATGATCGTGCGAAGGCAATGGAGGAGAAGGCGAGGTTGGAGAAGGAGTTGGAGGAAGAAAAAACCAAGGCATCCTCTGAAAGGACAGTATACCCCGACCTGTACGTCGCAGCAATGGAGCAGTTCAAGGGGTCTGCTGACTTCCAGATGGCGATCGATGCTGCGGTCGCCAGCAACTTGGCGAGAGAGGGGGCTGGGGGGGCTGGCCCGTCGGAGCGATCGCTAGGGGCAGGAGTGAAGATGAAGTGATCCAGAGCTTCCAGCGATCGGACTTCTACAAGCACGAGATGGCTGAGTACTGGGACAGCGGTTGGAAGATGTTTAAACGCAAAGTAGAAGAGTTGTTCCCAGACTTGGACCTTAGCAGTGTAAAGATTGATGAAGACGACATGGCCCAGACCCCCTTGGATGAGGGCGCTGAAGAAGAAGACCTCGTGTCAAGTAAGAGGGAATGACAGAAGTGGACAAAATTGTACTCAGAATTTTGGTTATTTTTTTTTTTTTTTTTTGAATTGCTATGATAAACTTGTGTATAAGTTTGTGAATGAATAACATTATAAGGTTGTGTTTGTCACACTGCTGTCTTTATGTTTGTGAGTCCGAAATGAATGAGAATGGTTTATTCAAATTAGGCTTGACTTGTAAGGAAAGAAGCTGACTTGTAAAAGTTTATAAGTAAGGAAACAATTTGACTTATAAAGGAAGTATGTAAGAATGTCAAAAAAAATGTGAAGTTTCAAATCACGCCCAAAGATGAACTTGTAAATCGTGTTGTAAGGATGTTGATAAATGAAAAATTAAGTTGGGAAATGAAAGCTAAAAATGTAAAGAGTGTTGAGACGTGTAAAAGCATGGACCTGGAATTTGACTAAGTATGGCCACCATGCCACAACCATGGAGTTAGCACGAATGGCCTTAACCGAGCTCTTCATTCGTGCTCAGTTTAGGTTAAGCTACGATTAACTGGCTCTTCAAGTAACTCAGTCGCTTTAAGTAACTCAGTCTGGCTGAGCTCTCTATGCTCAGTCTGGCTGAGGCTTTTCATGCTCTGTCAGGCTGGGTTCTTCATGCTCAGTTTAGCTGAGGCGCTTTTCATGCTCAGTCTGGCTGAGGCTCTTTATGCTTAGTCTGACTGAGGCTTTAAGTAACTTAGTCTGGCCGAGGTCTTCGTGCTCAGTCTAGCAGAGGCTTTAAGTAACTCGGTCTGGCCGGGGTCTTCGTGCTCAGTCCGGCTAAGGCTTTAAGTGACTCGGTCTGGCCCGAGGTCTTCGTGCTCAGTCTGGCTAGGGTTTTAAGTAACTCGGTCTGGCCGAAGTCTTCGTGCTCAATCTGGCGGAGGCTTTAAGTAACTCGGTCTGGCCGAAGTCTTCGTGCTCAGTCTGACGAAGGCTTTAAGTAACTCGGTCTGGCCTAGGTCTTCGTGTTCAGTCTGGCGGAGGCTTTAAGTAACTCGGTCTGGCCGAGGTCTTCGTGCTCAGTCTGGCCAGGCTTTTTATGCTCAGGCTGGCTGAGGTTGCAATCAAAGCGTTATTGGAATACCACACTAATAATTGAGATATAAGCTTGTTGTCATTAAAGTGTAGCCCATTTGATCAGAAATTTACATCATGTGAGAGAAGAATAAGAACATTCAAGTGTGTAGATTACCCAAAAGAAAATACAATAATTGATCAGTACAAGAATGGAAAATTATTGAAAATGAAGAAAATGAAAAGAAAAGATGAAAAGGAAAAAAAGAAGAAAAGAAATGAAAAAAATTGAAAAGAAAAGAAAAACAAAGCTCGAAAGGTCGAAAACCCGCGACGGGCGCCTTGGCAAAAGTTAGAGCATAAAAAGGAGAGGTTAAATACCCGAGTGTACCTTCACCCCGAACTACGTGAGGCTTGATTCCCATCTTTGGGATACGTAGGCAACTTCATTCTGAAGTCCAGCCATAACATTTCCAAATCGACTGTGTCCATGCGATGGTTCTGGTCATCTTTGTCTTCTCTGTATCTGAGAGTCTGGTTGTGTTCGTCGCTCTGAGGACTGACTACAATGCGCTGCGGTGCTATCCAAACAAGGGGCAACTTTCCGTTGCCATTCAAAACGCCGCAGTGTCATTTCAAACAAGGGCAACTTTCGTTGCCCATGCAGTGTCCTTCAGACAGGGCAATTTTCCATTGCCATGGATCCGGGTTGGCATCTCAAGAGTAGGTTCCGTGCTCGTTGAGCAGTGGTCGTTTGCAAAAATAGTTTTTGAGAATTTTTCTAAGGTTGACTAATCTTCTCGAAAAGTATCCATTTTTAAAACTGGACCATTTCTTGGACCAAAAGAGGAAATTTTCAGTGCTCATGGCCTGACTTGCATGATTTTAAATCAGAAAATTGAACAGCATGTTAATCTAACTCTCATTTTGTCAAAATTTTTTAGGAGAACTAAAACAAAAATGGTCAAAATGATGAACTGGGCATCGTTGAGTCAGGCTTCTGTCTTTCCATTATAACATACTTGCCAGAAGGCACTCTACTGCGAATAGGGCACACTGAAGTTAACAACAAGGGAGAAAGCTGCTCACATCCTCCAAGCAACGAGGTATCAAGCAGTGCGAAGCCAGAACCGGAATGGGGGCAAGATTTTCACTCCATCATTGGACAGATCTTATACGTCCAAACTTCCCAACAGCATCATCAATGATGTTAGCTGCAGATTTGCTACCCCGTTGTAGCGCAACCCTTCCGTGGAGGAATTCACTAGCTGTGAGCGGAAGAAGAAATCTAGCAGAGTGCTAGGGGTACGAGCACATTTGCTGTTTTCCATCAACCACC